GGCTACAAAGGGCCCTGAAGTCATCGTGACCATTCTTCTGCCCTGCCAACATGGAACTTCTCCCGAGCCTCCAACCTCAGTCCTGAACCTCCTCAGGGCACCAAGGGCACTTTTAATAGGCTTGCTCAATTCAAAGAAACTCTGCATCCACTTCCTAGGACCACCAGTACTGACTCGATACCAACCCCCAGGCTGGGTTGGTCCACATTGACCTGAATGTGACCCCCATCTGCCTTGAGAGTCAGCTTCCTCTCAAGGTGGGTGGAAAAGAACCAGAGTCTGAGAGGGAGACAAGTCGCTCTTACAGAACAGAATCAGCCTGCAGGACGCACTGTGGCCTCAGGGACAGGGAAAGATGGGGGCTTTCCCAAGGGGAGGCGTCCCACCTGGGTCACATTATTGGAAGCCCCCTTGTTGTTCGTGAGCTTCAGTTTCCCGAATGACACCTCCTGGCGCATCCAGTGGGCTCCGGTGTTGGGGGAATCTGGATGGACGTACAGGCGGTTCCCTGTGGACAGTTAATCTTTTTGGCATGCAGCCCCTGGGACCAGGCCCCTGGTGGCTTCCTTTGCCTGTTCCGAGGGGCACGGCAAGAAGGATGGAGGGGGAGGACAGACAGGGCAGGATGGGGGAGGTGCGGGCAGAGGGCCAAGCTGAGGACAGGATAGAGCAAAGTAGAAGAGATGACAAACAGAATGAAAGTGAGACGTGGGAGGGGAAGGGATGGAGTGGGGTGGAGTGGATGGGGTGGGGTGGAACTAGAGAATTAAATCCTAGGAGTCAGAGACTGGGGGTTGGGGGGAGTTCCTCTTGGATCCACCAGGGGGCGCACAGTCTTATAGAAAAATCATGCCCCCGGTTCCCAAGGAGGCACGTACCTGGCATGCTGCCCTCAGCCTTTCCACACTGCACCCACTTGCCGCTCTGATACCGCCAGTGGTGCTGGTCCACCAAGACCACGTCCACAAACATCCGGTAATGGCTGGTGGGCTCCAGCCCAGCCACAGTAAATGACAGGAATGGGAACATCCGCCTGGGGAGAACAGAGAGACCCACCAATCCCATCAGCCCCCAGCCCCCCGGACAGCCGTTCCCTGGGCCAAGGCCGTCCATCAGTGGTGTGCTGGAGCCAGCTCCCATCCTCACCAGAGCCAGCGGGGAAGTCCAGGAAGTCTGCCAGCCAGTTGTTAGACAGCAACAATTAACAATTAAACCAGGACTTCCCTGGTGGTCCAGTGGTTAAGAATCCACCTGCCAATGCAGGGGACATGGTTCAATCCCTGGTCGGGGAAGATTCCACATGCCATAGGGCAACTAAGCCCATGAGCCACAACTACTAAGTCTTTTGAGCTCTAGAGCCTGTGCTCCACAACAAGAGAAGTCATTGCAATAAGAAGCTGCTTACCGAAATTAGAGAAGTGCCCGCTTGTGGCAACTAGAGAAAGCCCGGGCAGCAGTGAAGACCCAGCACAACCAAAAATAAATATCAATAAAAATTAAATCATATAAACTACCATGAAATATATTACATTACAAGTCAAGGCAATAAATACTCAAAAAAATCACTTCTCGATATTTTTTACTACACTTACTATTATCTTTGCTCTTGAGATTGTTTATCAGTATGGTGGAGATAAACTAGATAATATTTGCTGCCGCACGTCTCTTCCCAACTCCAAGTTCAGTGATAACATGTGGGCAGCTTGCAAGCAGCCATTATAGGGGTATTTACCATGGAAATCAGCAAACACTACGAAGCAGGGCTTTTAAAAATTTTTTTCTTTTTGAGCGTCAGTTGCTAACATTAGCTGCACACCCGTCTCTAGCTTTAGTTTGCTCCCTGGAGGGGAGCAAAGCCACAAGCCAGCCCCAACACAGGCTGTTCCTAGTAGGTCTTCATCTCTGAGTTCCCCGAACCCTGGTCTGGCCTCAGTCTGTCATCCATCCTCTCGCTGCGGCTCTCATGGTGCTAACACACACCCAGCCTCAGAGCGGTCATCCGCAGGCTTTCCCTGCCCCGTCCTCCTAGGCCTGACGTCTGCAGTGCCACCTGCTCCCGGCTTGGGTCTTCAGAGAAGTAGCTGAAGTCCTAGCCAGAGCTTTCCATCCACCTGGAAGAGGGACTCTATTGAGCACAGTTCTCATGATCGAAGTCCTGGTTCCCAGGAAAACTGGAGGAAGTTGGATTTGGGATGTTGTGCTATTGTGCTGAGTAACAGATTCAGAGGAATAAGCACTGCCATACTACAACCATCTCCATCACCTCCACCATCACCACCATCAATACAACCAATATCTCCACTATCAATATCACTGTTACTACAACCGACACCTCCACCATCACCAGCATCACTACAAGGAACACTTCAAGGAGCACAACTCCCATCACCACCGTCACTACAACCAGCACCTCTACCATCACCACTGCCTCTCCGGCTTAGCCTCTCTTTCGACTCGAGCAGGAAGAGCAGACTTTTTAAGATGGCAGAGTCAAATCCTCATCAGAATTGCTTTTCATTCCCATACACACTTCTCTCCTCCTCCTACAAGAAGCCTTGCAGGGTGGGAAGAAAGGTCCTGGTCCATGAGTCAGGAAACCTGGGGGATTTAGAGTTCCAGGGGCCAAAAAGCACTTTCGGGTGGATCCCAGTCTACACTCCATGGGATCGCAAAGAACTGGACACAGCCGAGCATACGCGTGCACACACACAGTCCCCAGAGGGTCCTAGAGCAACATCCCTAATAACCTTGGAAAGATCTCCCAGGAGAGTACTGTCACATTCCTGCCTTCCCCAGACTCTCCTGGGCTGAGAAAAAGAAACTTACTCAATAAGTTAGTTTATTAAAAGTTAATAAAGATAAGTTAATTCCTAAACCAAACCTCACTTTCTTCACCCATAAATGGAGATAACAATTCCTGTCCATTTTTCCTTTCAGAGCTGTTAAGAAGTTTGGAAGATGTGCAACTCAGCTCACTGTCTACCCTATCCCACCCTCATCCCACCTTCTCCCAGGCCCAGAGTGGTCAAAACCTTCTGGCCTGGGTGAAGAACCCCAAGCAAGAGTCCAGAGTTCTGGTTTGAGGCCTTGGGTCCCAGGAGCTTAGCGTGCCAGTCAACTGGAGAAATCAAAGTTAGGGATGAGGCTTTGAGCAATCGAGAGTGAGAGAATATTTTCAGCCCATTGATACCACTAACTCATTTTGCAACAGTGGTCAGGTCATTCATGCTTCCTATATTGTACCCAGTTCCTATCCAGACATGTAGTAATAAAGAGAGAGAAGGGAACTTATTCATTGTGCCTCTCCTTATGCAGCAGCCAGTTCACTGAAAAAGTCCTCTGAGGTACAAAATGTTCTTTTCCAATTTTATATCTGAAGAAAATGAGGCTCCGAGAAGTTTGGTGATGGCTTCTTGGTGGAATCACAGAGCTGGAGTCTCCTGATGGCAGGGGACATGCTATAGTCTCCACCACCCCCTCCTGCTTCTTACTAGTAGAAGGAAAAGCAGGAGACACAAGAAGACCAGGGTGGGGTAGGGGAGAGGGAGAGGAGAAGGGAGGTCTCAACTTCACCCTAAAAATCTAGACTCACCACCAGCTGGGATCCCAAAATAGCCCTTGATTTACATGACATTTTGCTGGGAAGGAAAAGGGAGTCTGGTGCCAATCTGAGCCCCTCGAAAAGACAGCTCACCACTACTTAAGGACTTGAAATGATTCGCAGTCACTGTACCCCTTCCCCATCCTGAACGCTTCCGACAACGCTCCAATTCGCGGTTATTAGGCACAAATTTAAAGGAGATGGTTTTTATCAGTCTGGGCTTCCCTGGTGGCTCAGACGGTAAAGAATCTGTCTGCAATGCAAGAGTCCTGGGTTCAATCCTTGGCTCGAGAAGATTCTCTGGAGGAGGAAACGGCAACCCACTCCAGTATTCTTGCCTGGAAAATCCCATAAACAAAGGAGCCTGATGGGCCACAGTCTGTGGGGCTGCAAAGAGTCGGACACGACTGAATGACTAACACTTTTATCAGGCATGTTTGCAAAATGTTTCAAAATTGATAATACCTAATTGCTATTGAGCCTGCAGGATAATTGGTCCTTTCTTCCACTATCTGTCGGGGTGTAAACTGAAACCACTTTTGAGGAGAGGTTTGTTTTTTTTTTTTGGCCATGCTTCACGGGGAGTGCGGGATTTTCCCCAACCAGGGATCAAACTCCCATGATCCCTGCAGTGGAAGTGCAGAGTCTTAACTACTGGACCGCCAGGGAAGTCTGAGGAGCGTATTCGGCAATGTCTTTATGGATCCAAATGTAAAACGCACCTAAGCATCAAGGGAGTGCCTCCTCAAACTAACCTCGGATCCACTGAATAGAAATCAGACGGCCACCAGCAAACAGGGAAAGAGAAAAAGCAAAGCCATTTTCACCGATCCCATGAGAAATGAAGCCCATCAGCCCAAATTAAAGCAGGCTTAAAGCTAAAAATATTTTTTAAAGATCTAAAAAGTTCTTGGTGTTGGAATGTAGAGAAGAGAAAACCAACAGGCCTGCGATCGAGGATAATGCGGGACTGAAATTGTTTTACCAAGCCCTAACCTCGCACATACATACAGAAATGCAAATAGAGCTGCTTAACAACAGAGTTATCTTAATTATAATAATCAACTAATCACACCCAGAAAAGTGGGGATTGCCAGCAATTACTGCACACCCACACACCCACACACGGAGACAGCCGCCTCGCTCTTCCTCTGCTGAGAATGTCTACCATTGACTATCAGACAAGCTGCCTCCCAGAAATAACAGGAGGCCCAGCAACATGAGCGCGCCTAATGGACCACAGACACACAGACTTGAACTCCAAACCCTCCAGTAGGCCAGTCCATCTTCCTATCCTCCATTTCCCCTCCCGGTCCCATCTGAGCCGCCTGGATTAGTCTCTGGACCCCAGAACCACCTCCTGCCCCGCTCCCCATCCCATTCCTGCCACAGAGGAGAACATGACTGTGTCCTGTCCACAATGCGAGGTGGGTCTAGGGTGGGTAGGAGAGAAAGAATCTGGGAGGGAGTGAGTCAGCCCCAAGACGAAAGGCTACGGGGCTGTGGGTGGGCCTGCTGGAAGGATTTTTCAAAAAGGAAGAAAGTCGTGGGTGATGTGGTGGTGACTGACGGATCACTGGAAACCATGGAGGGACAGACCAGTCTGCCCTGGTCTGAAAGGGGGCAGAAAGGGAGCTGTTCTCTGAGCCCGTCTTACTTTTCAGAAGCCAGTAGCAGAAGGAAATGGCCGCCGACTTCCCAGATCACTGGAGCCTAAGTTCACAGACCCGGGTGCCAAGCTGGGAGCGGTGTGTCCTCTGTCTCCTCCACTCCACCCTGAGGCCTGATCCAAGAGGAGGCCTCAAGGGAAATGGTGAGAGGCCACTGTCCCCTTCCAACAGCTCCAACCCACGAAGTGTCCGAAGCAGTCCTTCAGGACGGATTGAAAGTGTGAGGATTGTAAAACTGGAGTGTACAAAACAGTCAGGGAAATCTGATGATATTTAAGAATTTCTTTTCAGGTTTGCTAATGGTATTGCATTTATTTTTAAAAACCCATTTTTAGAGGTGCACAGAGAACTACTTAAGGATGAAGTAATACAGTATCTAGGATTTACTTACTAATTACGCTATCACTAACATAGTTTCAGACCAGAGGTATGGCCGTTAACACAGCAAAGGAAAAGTAGAAACAGGGTTGGACTAGTATCGACAGTTAGGTAATGGGTAGATGGAGATCTGTTACATGTTTCTCTTCACTTTTGTATATATTGGAATTTTTCATAATAAAGGAAATTAAGTGTGTGGGTTTAAATAAAAGAGAGACAACGAGGGACTTCCCTGGTGATTTAGTAGTTAAGACTCCAAGCTGCCTAGGCAGGGGCTCAGGTTCAAACCCTAGTTAGGGAACTAAAATCCCACATGCTATGCAGGAGTGCAGGATGGCCAAAAGATGGAAAATTAAAATAAAATAAAAAATAAAAGAGAGACAACACAACTGTCAAGAGAAGATTATTCAGCAGGAATGTAAAGGAAAAATGAGGTTGTAGATGCAAAGGAGACAGCCAGTACAGACAGCAATATGTACTGCACCGTACCCTAAGACCCACAGCCAGTCCTGCACCTCCAGATCCCTGAAGTTCTGCCGAAGCTCTGTCCACCCCAGGCCTCAAGACTGGAGGGGCGGGGGCCTGGCCACAAGTCTGTGGGGAGACCCCAGCAGGCCCCGGGGTGAGAAGACTTCCTGACCACTCAACAGAGTGGAGGCTTGAGTTCGGGTCTGCCGTGTGACCAAGTGCAAGCCATCAGCCCCCCGGGCCTCAGCGCGCTCAGCTGCAAACGGGGAGGCTGCTTGGCCTACCTAGCGTAGTGAAATAATGGAAGTGAAAGCACTATGAATGCATCAAGGCCTTCGGACAGTGTGGGTAGCTGTTTTTACTCCTGGTCTTGGGGGAGCAGAGAAAGAACCCCAGGCACACACCATCTGGGAGCTGGTGACAGTTCTGCCAGTGATGGATGTGCTGTGTGACCTCAGAAAAGTCTCTTACTGTCTCTGGGTCCATTTCCCTGTCTGTCCAGGAAGAAGACGGAACAGGATCTTCTGGGTTCCCTCCAATTTAGACATGACAGCCTAGAAGCCTGGGCTGTGCCTAGGGTCACCCAGAAGGGGACTAGGGTTGGGGGAACAGAGAGGAATTATCAGATGGCCTAGAAGATGAAGGCCAGGCCATAAAAGAAAATGCCAGTCTTTCCTGGGTTCATCCCCGAGAAAGAACAGTTCAGCAACTTGAAGCCAATTGTGATTGGTGGACAGGTCCCTCAATCCCCAGCCATCCCACAGAAATCATTCATCAGGACGGAAAAATGTTCCAGCAATGCCCAGATATTCAGTCTACCTTGAGGGATCTAGTTCCATGGCTCAGGCCCCCCTGAGCCCAGCACATGTAGGGTAGGGTTTGGGGCCAAGGGTGCTGCTTGAATGAATGTCAACCCTCTGGCCCAGCATGGCCTCTCCCCTCTCCCTTCCCGAGCCCCACACTCCTATCTGCCCTTCAACACCTCTCGGGTCCACTGATGACACAGCTGCCTCCACACAGAGGCCCTCGCTGGTTCTCTACCCACACAGACCCCTCCCCGGGAAAGGGTCGTGCACACTCTCACCCACCAGACACAGTCAGGGCCCACTCAGAGTGGAGTTTGCTACACAAATAACACACAAGCTGCAAGTTTCTCTTTCTTTCCCTACGTAGGAGACTCTCCGGAAGCAGCACCCTTGGCCCCAAAACCCTACCCTGCACGCACTGGGCTCAGGAGAGCCTAAGCCACGGAACCAGGGCTTCCCCAGGGTGAACTGAACGTCTGGGTCAGGGTGGGGCAGGCTTTCGGGGACAGGCCTTGAAGGGTGCAGAGACTGGGACTGGCTGCCAGCTGGGACCCTTGAGGTAGCTTCACCTGCTCAGGCCCATGGACATCTGTGCCCTCAGGCAGGGACCGTGTCTGGAAGGAATCTATGCCCTCTCCCACGGTCCCACCTCCCTCCCCCCACCACACGCACACACCAGACATATGATCTCAAAGTACTACCGGAAAGGAAACTTGGCGACTAGGTCTCCATGTCACCAAATCCCAGTTTTACACGTCTCCCTCCCCCAGAGCTGACCTGTATACAACAGCAGCAAGGGCACGGGGAGAGGTGGGCAAAGAGGGCCCCTGAGAGGAGGGCTGCTTTGCTGTCCGCTCCACTGCAAGATTCTGCCCTCCCCTGGGTTTCCCAGCACATAGGGGCGAAGAGGTGCCCTGCTCTGTCAGATGCACAGCACACACTCCCCCTGCGCCCTGGGCGTCCCCCACTCAGGCAGAGAGCGGGACCCCAGTGCCTGGGGAAACCATAGGCACCCTCGCCCTAAACCAGGACCGTGGCTCCCTGTGTCTCTCGCCTCCGTCACTCATGAGTTTCAGGTTGCGCCTGTCGGTGCAATGTCCTGAGATTGTCCCCACCTCAACTCCCTCCTTCCCCTCAAGGCCTGAGCCAAAGCTGTGAGGGACACGGAGACACTAGCAGTCTAGACAGAAAAAAAAGAAGCTCGTCTCGGTCAGGGCAGGTCAGGGACGAAGGGGCTCCCATCGCTCGGCGCTCCGGCGCGCGCCTCACTCACCGTCCCTGCTTGGTGATGATCATCTCCGTCTGGTGCTGATTAAACTTGGACCACAACAGGTGGTTGTTGAGCGCAACTCTCAGCTTCCCGGACACCTCCAGCCCCGCCGGCAGTGTATAGTCCTCGCGCGGCGCCGGGTAGAGTGTGGCGCGCGGGTCCGGAGCCGAGTAGGCGTCCCCCGACTGGTAGCCCTCGGCGCCCGGCGTCGGCGGGAAGGGCTCGCTCGTCCCGGGGAAGCCGGCGGCCTGGGGCCGGGGCGGGTAGGCGTAGGCTCCGAGGAAGCGGCCTGGCGGGGAGGGCACCAGGGCGCCCCCGGCGTAGGGCGCCCCCAGGCCGGCACCCCCGCGACGGTCGGTGGCGTCCTGCGCGCCCGGCTCCGGGTAGAAGTAGCGGTTCTGCGGGTCGGCGCCTGGCGCCCGGCCCTCGTCGTTCGCCGGCATCGGCTCGGTGCCCGTTAGCATGTCTCCGCAGCCGAGCTCCACGATGCCCATCCGGGGCGGGCTGGCACCTTCCCGCGGGCCGTCGAGGACCGGCCCCTCTGCCCCGCCTCACCCCGCCCCTCCTGGCTAATAACTCGGCAAATTCTACGCGGTTGGTGAGGACTGTAGGGCCCCCACCGTGCAGAGCAGCGAGTCTCCGGTGCGCCTTGTAGTTCACGCTCAAAGACTTTATGCCTTATGGGAGAGTCAACCCCTCCACGTGAAACGCCAGACTGTTTGTCTCCTCTGGACCCTCGTGGAAATTCCACCCATCCTTGAAGCTTCAGCTCAAAGGCCCCCTCCTACGGGAAGCCTTCGGTGATGACCCAGATGGGCTTACTCGCAGGCTCCAAGCCGCTTTGCCCATGGCCATGTGACAGATGTTCACTGATGCTCACTGTGTGCCCAGGCTCCGAGCCGAGTGGCTTTGTGTGAAGTGTTGCCCTCTTCCTCTTTGCCAGAGGCCCAAGCAGGCTGTGTTCCACGCATCTGTTCCTTCAGCCCTAGGGCAGAAGTGGGACCTGGTGGGCAGCGAGAAGAGTTCCATCAAGCGAACTGCGTAGCAGCAGCTGAGGGTTTGCACGAGGGCGTGCCAGCCACGGGCACTGGGAGCAGCACTGGACTGCCAGCGCTCAGAGTCCCAGGACGGGCTCTGACCATCACTCAGGTAGACGTGACCCGGGCAAGTCACTCTCTTTGCCTGAAAGTCAGCCTCAAGGCCCCCAGGCTAGAGAAAACAAACTGATGCACTTTTTCAGAGGGCCTGTGAGCCTTACATGAGAGAAGACACCTGGGTGGCACTTTACAGTCTATTATTATACCTGGATGGAAAAGCAGCTTTGAACAGACCCAGAGCAGGCTGACAGGAAGGAAACCCACCACATGTTCTGAAGGGCTGCCTTGGTGGTAGGACTCTGAGGGCTTAGCTTTCTCTGTTTTCCTTTTCTGTTGACTAATGTAGTTATATTCCTTTTATGATGACTGTTTTCCCCCTGGTTGAAAATATCTTCATTGGGAGTTTTCCTGTGAATAAAGATAAAACACACTCATGTAGAAAATTTAAGCAGTATAAAGAAGTAAAAAATAGGACTGCGTAAATCACACCAAATTCCACCCCCCAGAGGCAAATAGGATTACAATTTTGCTGAACACCCCAGACATCATTCCTTGCACACCCCTTCTTGGTCTGTCTTTTGCACATGCACACACGCATACCATACATATATATATACACGTAATGTTTTTTCACTCAACAAGGTGTAATGGAATTTTTCACATGTCAATATATGAAGATTTTCATTTGTAAGAGTGTTTTGAAAAATACCTTAACATTTTTATCATGTTAAAGGTTAACCTCTTCTCTCTCCCCTTCCCCCCTTCCCGCTCCTCCCCAGCCCGCCTCAGTTCTCCCCTGGGAGCTGGCCCCATCTCTGCATCCCTGTCCCAACTCAACAGGGCTTCACCCTCAGGGGCCCATGGGGACTCTCTGCTCCCAACTAGAGCTGAACCAAGAGGCAGGTTGGCAGGTGAAGGCAAAGCTGGGGACCCCAGGAGGCGGGCATGACTCAGGGAGGGGGGAGGAAAGAACATAAGCACATCCTCTGAGCATGGAGGCCAGCACACCACAGCACCAGAACCCAGGATTGGCCTCCTCCTGGCCCTTTACCCACCTTCTCCATCCTTCCTGAAGGGGGGAGTTTCTGCCTGCTGGTCCATGTGGGCTGCGTTGCTTGAAAGAGAGGGTGATCTTGAGACCCTTGGCTACTTTTGGGGAAACATGAAAGATTTTAGTAAGTCTACCTTGAATGACTGGTTTCCCCAGGAGACATGAGGCTGCTGAATGCTGACACCTCTTCTGGGAGACATTCTCACTAAGTGCTTGGCTGTGGAGGGCCAAGTGGGGCCCTGTTCCGCCCTGTCTCTCCCCCTCCTCCTCTCCATGCTCATCCTCGGGTCAAGTGATCCTTCCCCCTACCCCTGAACAGAAGAACCTAAACCCCTGCCCAGCTTTGGGGGCAGGAGGGATTATGAATTTCAGAATCAGGTGGACCTGGGGACATGTCCCTGGAGGAAGAGGGTGGCAGGAGGCAGTCTTTGTGTAACCCGATGAACTGTTAGAGGGTCTTACAGCCCGGCTCATCAAACCCAGGTTTCTCACTCACTCCCTCCAATTCCTTCCACCCAAAAAAGAAAGTGCCTGTGAAAAGCGGGGGCTGAGTAGCCCTGGTGTCACCACTGCCAGGCCCGCCTCTCTGCCAGCTCGGGTGAGAAGAAGAACTCTGGCAGTGACACCTCCTCCTCCCCTTGCCACCTCATCCTCTTCCCAGGCCCCAGGACTGGAGAGGTGGGGGAGGTGGGGCAGGATATAGGGCCCCCTGGGATCTGCTCACTTCCATCACTGCTCATCCCAGCCCCTCTCTCATGGATCTACCCATTGATCGTCCAGAAGGCTGGTCTGGGTGGGGCAGGAGCAAAGGACAGGGTATGTCTCCAGGATGGGAGAGACACTGTCTCCAATAAACATCAAACGTCACAAGACAGGCTGGATGGGAAATGTGGGAAAATGAACAACCTACCAAACTCTCACACCCCACTTGTGGCAGAGCCAGGGCTGGAACCCCCATCTCTTGACTCCTGATCCAGTGCTCTTCCCACAAGAGTGTTGCCTTCCCAATTTTGAGGAAGAACAACTGTAATAAATGAAAAGTCATATGATCACATCAGAAAAGGTTTAGAAAACAGAAAAGTAAATTGCCCCATAGCCCACCAACCTGGACAGCGGTTTTCTTCACCCTGTTCTGCCTATATTCAAGGCTTCTTTTCAAGCCATTTCCTATCAAGACTCAAAAAGGAGCTTGGCTCCTCTGATGCCACACAGTACCTGCCATGACTGTGCATCACAGGTGGTGCCTGGAAGCTTTACAATGTGAATTCCTCAGACCTACCTCTGGAGATTCTGATTCCCAGGTCTGTGGCTGATTCTCCAGTATCTGTCCAGGTGATGCTGGGCCCCCCCAGAGTCCATGCATCCCACTCTCAGGCCCACTCCCGTTTTGCCATTCTACCTCCAAATCATGTCCCAACTTGAGAAAGCCTGTGCCCTGACCCTGCTTGTTGTGTGCCCTTTGGCACCTGGAAGACTGTGTGATGGTTGAGGATGGCCGCTCCAGGCACTGAGTATATTTTCTTATTGAAGTGCCAGAACCAGGCAGTTCCTTACCCCAGAAGCTAACCGTCACCTGTGTTCTCTCTTTACAATGTGTGGATGCTTAGCACTCCCAGGACCTGGAAGGCTCTTGAATGGGCTCATGCTGCATGGTGCCAGGGTAGGGTGCTGAACGGCCCACGGGGCAGTCACAGAGGGTGGCTCTCGGCAGAGACCTCGCATATCAGGACTCTAGGATCCAGGATTTCTGCCTCCATCCTGCTGGGCATAACCTGAGCGGCTGTGAGAGGGTAGATGAGTGAAGCGGGGAGGACGGTATGCTGGAGAAGAGGCAGGGCAGGAAAAGGAGAGAGCACGGAGCGGGGGCGGGGGGGGGGGGGTGCTTAGCTGTGTTTCTGAAAGATTCAGAGATGGAGAGGGACAGGGACCACAAAGTCAGAAACCCAGAGCGTGACTCAATGGGCAAGTCTCAGGCCAGGAGAGGGAGATCTGAAAAGAAGACAGAGGAGGTGGGCCAGGGAGAGGGAGGTTTGCAGGAAAATACTTGTGGCAACAGAAATGATGTAACTGGCTTAGAACCCCAATTCCAACTGGCTGTGTGGTCTGTTCAAGTATCTTCACCTCCCTGGCTTCCTCATCAGTAAATGGCGCTAAAAGACTTTCTGTCAGGATGACCAGGTCTCAAGTGAGGTGTGAGGCAGTGTGAAGGCCATGGGGTTCTGCCCCGAGGCAAGAGCAGAGCAGAGGCTCTCTCTCTCTCTCTCTAGTCGCTAAGTCATGGACGACTCTTGCGACCCCATGGACTGTAGCCTGCCAGGCTCCTCTGTCCATGAGCAGAGGCACAGACTATGCTTAAGTGCCTCCTCCCCTTCTCCTCCAAGCTGCCCAAAGTTCCCTTCCCTCCCTCTGGCATCCACTGGTTCCCCACAAAAGGCCCTTCAAATCCAGACCTCAGTCTCCACTAGGGCCCTGGGCCCAAAGAGAACCAAGATCCCATCCCAGGAAGGACAGTCTTCCCCTCCAGAGACCCATACACCATCCCCTGGAGACCGGGACAGGCCAGACCCCAGGGACTCGGGGGTCACAGAGATAAAGTAGGCTCAGCCTCTGCCTCCAAAGAACTCCTAGCGAGGTGACCTTGGGATCAAAGTTCTCGAGCCCCTCAGTGCATTTGCCCTTCAGATGCAAGCTTGAAACATGCCAGCCTGTGCACATACAATGGACAGCACCCATGTGTGAGCAAGCACATGCAATGCACACACACACAAACACACAGCAACGCTAGATAAATCCCTGCAGCCTCACCCCCTTCGCGTGTCCCACATGAGCCTCCCTGAGCTCCTTGGGCATCTGCTCTGCTCACCCCCACCTGCTCTGAACCTCCTCCGGCTCTGGGCCCAGACTGCCAGTCCTTCAGATAGCATGGCCGGAACCATCGGATTAACAGCCAGGGAGGGCAGAAGGCGAGTGACAAGCACCTGTAGAAGCCCTACCCCGTGACAGCTGCGGGAGTTCCGAGTCCCCAGCACCCAGCACCAGGTGATCAGTGTGGGCTCAACACCAATCAAGGTCAAGGGCCCCAGGCTCTCACTCCCAGGCTGGTTCCCCTTCCCTACCCCCCACCCCCTGCAAGGCTGGGAAGCCTTATCCTTTAGCTCCAGGCCACACCGGGTTCTCCTGTATTTCAGGCCTCCCCCGGGGGTATCTTATCTTGGATCAGCTCTTCTGTCTCTAACAGCTGTCACCCAGGAGCCCCAGCTCTTCACACTAGACCCACACCCCTCCCCACACCCACAGAGCACCCCACCTTCACTGCGTTCCCAGGCTAGGGTTCCTGCCCCCTCTT